TCTGATAAGGATCTAGTATCCAGAATACATAAAGAAGTCTTCCTGCTCAACAATTAAAAAAAAAAAAATGAATGATCCAATTAAAAAACAGGCAGAAGACTTGAACAGATTATTTCTCCAAAGAAGATAAACAAATGGCAGCAAGGACACGAAAAGATGCTCAACATCATTAGTCATTAAGGAAATACAAATGAAAATTACAATGATATACCACTTCACACCAGGAAATGTAAAGTGGTGTAGCTGCTCTGGAAAACAATTTGGTGGTTCCTCAAAGAGTGAAACATAGAATTACCATATGACCCAGCAATTCTACTTAAAGATGTATACTCAAAAGAACTGAAAATGGATACTCAAATACTTGTACGTGAATGCTCAGAGCAGCGCTATTCACAACTGCCAAAGGTGGAAATAACCCAAATGTCTATCAACAGATAAATGGATGAACAAAATGTGGTATATACATTCACTGGAATATTATTTGGCCGTAAAAGTGAATGCAGTACTGATTATGCTACAACATGGATACCCCCTGAAAACACAGGCTAAGTCAAAGAAACCTTAAACAAAAGGTCACATATTGTATGATTCCATTTATATGGAACACCCAGAATATAGGTAAAGCTACAGAGACGGAGAGCAGAGGGGTCACTAGCAGGGCTGGGGGGGGGCTGGGAGGAGGGGGTACTGGGCGGGTTAAGAATAGGGAGTGAATGCTTAATGAGTACAGGGCTTTCTTTTGGGGTCATTAAGTGTTTTGGAACTAGACAGAGGTGGTGGTTGCACAACAATGCAAACATACTAAATGCCACTGAATTGTACACTTTAAAAAAGTTAATCTTACATGAATTTCACATCAATTTTTTAAAAAAGAGAAAAGAAAACACACCAATGTCCCCTTTTGTCAAACATATACATTTCAGGATCTCTTTATATGTTTCTGAAATAATACTTCGGCTATCAACTAACCAATGGTTTTAAAAGGCACTGATTTAAAGTAAACATGTGCTCCCTGCCCTCTATTTACAAGCTGAGTGTCACTGTCCTACCAGATACAGTACTAAATTCCTCCATTTGGTGCCTACCTTTTCTGCCTCTCCTCTTGCAGCTGCCTAAATATAGTGGAGGATATTTCATTTCTTCATTCCAATGAACACAACAGTCTCTCAATCTAGAACAGCGGTTCTCACCCGACTGCACATTAAAATCACTTTAGGAGCTTTTAAACAAAACAAAACAACAACAACAACAAAAAACCCCTCATGTCTGGGCCCTGTTAACTGAATCAGAATTTCTGGGGAAGAAGCCAGGAATCTGGGGGTCAGGAGCTCATTTTTAAAGGCTCCCCAGGTGACAATAATGCGCAGCCAGTGTTGAGAATAATTGACCTAGGAACATCTATATTCACTTCCCTTTAGCCAAGTGCAGTGTTTTCTAAACTCCATCATTCACATATCAGTTTTTGAAAGTTGTGTTTTTCTAGAAATGTAGCCAATTGCATTTGAATTTCAAATTGAAAGCACAATGTTGTTCCTAAGATCTTCTTATCTTTTTTAATATCTATATATCTGTAGTGACGTCTTTTTTTCCCTTTACTTACGCTTGTTTTGCCTATCTCCTCTTTCTAAATTAGTCTAAAGGGCTTATCCATTTTCCAGTTGTTTCAAAGGCTAGAATTTTTTTCTTTTTTTTAAATAAAGATTTTTTTATTTATATGCCAGAGAGAGAGAGAGAGAGAGAGAGAGAGTACACGCACACAAGCAGTGGGAGCGGCAGGCAGAGGGAGAAGCAGGTTCCCTGCCAAGCAGGGAGCCCGATGTGGGACTCCATCCCAGGACCCTGGGATCATGACCTGAGCTGAAGGCAGACACTTAATGACTGAACCACCCAGGCGTCCCAAAGGCTAGAACTTTTGCCTGTATTTTTTTTCCATTGTTCAGTTGTCCATCTAATTTCTGCTCTTACCTTTCTTTCCTTCCTTCTAATTTCCTAGGGTTTAATGAACTCTTCTTTCTCTAGGGGTTTCAAAAGGAGACTTAGATGAATGATTTGTAAATCCTTCTTTTTTCTAATACACACACATTTAAGGAAATAAATTTCCCTCTGGGAACAGATTTAGCTACACCTTACAAGCTTTCATATGCTATATTCTCTTATCATTTAGTTCAAAATAATTTCAAACTTCCTTTACAGTTTCTTCTTTGACCTATAGGTTTTACAGAAGTATACTGTTTAATACCTGTACATTTGGGGATTTTATTATTAATCTCTCATAAATTCCACTGTGGCCAGTAAACATACTGTAAATTACTTCAATCTCTTGAAATTTGTTGAGGCCCACCATAATCAATTTTGGTAAATGTCTCATGTATACTTGAAAAAGAATGTATTTGGTGTTATACGCAACTAATGAATCACCAAACACTACATCAAAAACTAATGATGTACTATATGTTGGCTAACTGAACATAATAATAATAATAATAATAATAAAGAATGTAGGGGCGCCTGGGTGGCTCAGTCGTTAAGCGTCTGCCTTCGGCTCAGGTCATGATCCCAGGGTCCTGGGATCGAGTCCCACATCGGGCTCCCTGCTCAGCGGGTAGCCTGCTTCTCCCTCTGCCTCTCCCCCTGCTTATGTTCCTTCTCTCGCTGTGTCTCTCTCTGTCAAATAAATAAATAAAATCTTTAAAAAAAATAATAATAATAATAAAGAATGTATATTCTATAGCCATTGGTGCAATATTCTTTACTCATAACTCAGGTCTAGTTCATTGCACTGTTCAAGTCTTTTAGATTCTGATTATCTGCTTTTTCTAATAATTAGTAAAAAAATTTAAAGTCCTCTGCTATGATTGTGATTTCCTTGTAATTCTGTGAACTTTTGTCTGTATGTTTGAAGTCATGCTTTTAGGTATGTGTGTGTATAACTGACAGTTTAAAACACCCCACTTTTTAAAATTGCCTTAAACTTCATTTTGTCTGGTAATAGTGTAGTTATCTTAGCTCTCATATGGATATTTGCATAACACATCTTTTTCACTCTTATATTTTCAATATTTCTGTGTCCTTATATTTGAGGTACCTCTTGCAAGGAGGATAAGTGTAGTTTTTTATCTTTAAATAGTATATTAATAACATTTACATTTAATGTAACTGCAGAACAAGTTTGGGTTCATAAGTAAAAATGTACAATTTGTCCCACTTGTTTAATGTTCATTTTCCTTTCTCTTCTTGCCTTTTTTTGGATTAATAAAGTACTTAAATTTTTTTCTATTTATATCCTGTATTAATTTTTTGCTTGTACCCAACAATTCTTTTAGTAGTTACAAGATAATGACATGCATCCTTGATTTAGTAGTCTACTATAAAGCAGTATCTTTACCCTTTTCCAGACAATGCTAGGATCTTGGAATACTTTAACTCCATTTCTACTTCCCAACTTTTGTGTTAGTCACGCATTATAATTCCACATATATTTTATGTATATGTATTTCATTATTTTATGACCCTACCATTTGTTTTGTAGTCAAAATTAATTTAGATATACTCACCCTTTCTTTTTTTTTTTTTTAAAGATTTTGTTTATTTATTTGTCGGAGAGAGAGAGTGCACAAGCAGGGGGAGCAGCAGGCAGAGGGAGAAGCAGGCTCCCCGCTGAGTAAGGAGTCCAATGTGGGACTCGATCCCAGGGCCCTGGGATCATGACCTGTGCCGAAGGCAGATGCTTAACTGACTGAGCCACCCAGGCATCCCACATACTTACCCCTTCTATTGTCTTTTTTCCTTCCTGCAAATATTTCCATGTTTCTGTGCTATGTTTATTTTTATTCTGCCTTTAGTATTTCCCTTAGTATAGGTCTGCTGGGATGCATCTTCTCAATTTTAATGGTCTGAAATGTCTTTTATTTTGCCTTTAATTTGAAGGATTATTTACTGAGTATAGAATTCTAAGTTGGCAGTATTGTTTTATAGTACTTAAAAAAAAAGATTTATTTATTTGAGGTGGGGCGGGAAGTGGCAGAGGGGGAAGGAGAAAGAAACCCAAGCAGACTCTGCACTGAGCATGGAGCCTGATGCTGGGCTCCATCTCATAACCCTGAGATCACAACCTGAGCCGAAACCAAGAGCTAGACGCTTAATTGACTGCACCACTCAGGCACCCCGTTTTATAGTACTTTTAAAATATCATTGCATCACCTTTATGGTTCCTAAAGATTCTATTGAGAAATTAGCTTTCAGTCTTATTAATGCTCTTTTGATGCTAATCTGTCTTTTCTCTTCTAGGTACTTTTAATATTTTCACTTTGTCTTTGGTTTTCAGCTATTTTATTATAATTTCCCTATGTTTGCTTTGTACTTACTATGGGTTGTATTTAATGCTTCTAGAATTTGTAGCTTAATGTGTTTCATCAAATTTGAAAAATTCTATCATTACCTCTTAAAATATTGCATTTACCCTATGTACTTTCTTTTCTCACTTTGTGATCTCAATTATACATATCTTAGACCTTTTTATTGGGTCCTACATAAGTCTAGCACTTTTCTATATAATCCATCTTTTTTGTTCTTTATGTTTTGGTCAATATATTTTCTACTGACCTTTCCTCCAGTTCACTAATCTACTTTTCAGACATGTACAACCTGCTCTTCAGTCTTTTATGCTTTTCTTGCTTGTCTGACAAATCTTTAATCATTTCACTTGGTAACCAGCAGGCAACAGGTACTACATGAATACCTGCAGAGTATATAATACTTGTTTCTCACAAAAGCAAATTAAACTTAAAATAAGTCAACCTTGCTATCATTAACAATTTTAAGAAGTGTAGGATTTGATTTATTATAATCTAAATGAATAACCACATTCTACTTAAAAGAAATGGAGCACTTTACAAAGGATATACAAAAAATCACCACAGTCTAGGTCACATTTCATATTTTTAATATACTCCATGTTTCAAACTGGCTTATGTTAAAAGTACATAAAAAAAGATACTTACTCTCTCTCCTTTTCAGTCAGCTTATCATTGATATTATCTTTGATTGTTGATCTAGATCCCTTATGAATTATAGGATATCTTAGCGGCACTTGTAAGAAAAAGGAAATCATGGAGACCAAATGTGCTGTGTAACCAAGGGCAACAGCAATGCTTCCATCATCTTTTGCTGTAAATTCAAAAGCAGAGAAAAAGCAAACAACTATTTACCTTATAAACGTAGCTACAAGATCATAATCAATTTCAAGAGAATAAATAAAATATTAATCACACCTAAATTACATGAATTTTATACAAATCTAAACATATTAACAAGACTTGAAATTTCATCTACTATATTTAGAACTATTGTTCAATAATTACTGTGATGAGATTAGCATTCCATATACATCTTAAGAAAGAGTTCTTAGTACACTCAAATATCCATTACTTTCTTTCCTTCCCAGCATTTTTTTTTTAAAGGCAGAGATAATACCTAGTCTATCATACGATGTGAAAATGAGTTTCAGAGGTTTAATCACAATGCATTATATGAGCATTATGTATTTTACTCATTAACTTTATAATCAATATAGTTGTACTGTTGTACTATTGTACAAATTAAGTCTAAGGTGAAGTAAAAAAGCACAATGCATCCTTATGGGATATGTTCTCAATATCCATAAAGATAGTGTTGCATAAATAAGACTGAAATTTGAGATAGGATAGGGAGGAAAAATATTTTAAACAGTAAAAGTAAAATGTCAAAAACCACAGTTAATATATATCCTATTCATGCAATTTAGGTGGAAGCAACTATTAGGAAAAAAAATTTATGTACCCTACAGTCAAACACAAGCATCTCTCTTTTTTTTTTTTTTAATTTTATTGTTATGTTAGTCACCATACAGTACAAAGCATCTATCTTTTAAGAAGTCACAGATAACTACATTTTTAACTCACCACCTAGATTGCTGCTACTACCTACCAAGTGATAATAATCATCAGGTACTCAGAACAGAGTAATACAACAAAACGTTTTAAGCCTGCCCCAGGAGGAAGAAAAAAGCAACTGTTTGGTATATAGTATTCCCAAAATACTTTTAAAAGTTCACATACACACACTCTGAAAGATTTAACACATAATCTAGACTATCTCAGGCTAGAGAGAAGCTGAAATAATTGAGATATCCTTGGCTTGACTGTTTCCTGATTTCTAAGGGTACCTTAACTTCAATTATTAGAAATGTTTTTCACATTCTTTTTAATATTTATACTTAGTTATCTAAGTACTAGCTTCTGGTTGTAGGAATGCCCCTATAGTCATCTATTCATCAGTTCGTTCTCCACCATTGATGACCATGGCAGATTCTTGGTTTCTCTTTGATTATACTATAAAAATAGGTAACTTTCATTGTATACTTCTCTTCCGCCAGGAACTGACCATAGTACTTTATTTATGACAGTCATTAATTCATCAACAATTACTAAGCTGGGCACCTTTTTATATGCTATTTCATTCATTTCATAGATGAAGAAACTAAGGGTCAAAGAAATTAAGGAATCTGTCTCAAGTAATAGAGTAATACAATATAGGTTGGCCTGACAACAACGCCTCTGTCCTTAAGCACTCCACCATACTGTCTCAGAAGTTTACTGTGGAACACATAACAATTTCTTAACTTGGGAACCTAGAATGTACCAAGCAGATGACACACATGTACCACCTCAGTTTCTTCACACTTTTCTTGTAAGGGCAAAGAACACAGAGTTCCCGGTGACTTGGACCACGCTAGACTGAGAATGGGCTTCTCAAACTAATGTTTGATGTTCTCTCAAACCAAACTGATAAAAAAAAAAAAAAACAAACAGCATTCATTTCCACTCACTACTCAGTCATGCCCTAACTGACAAGAATCCTAATTGTTCTTAGAGACCACGTCCTCTTGCCCCAGTCCCGCCCAAGTACCTTGAGTACTGTAACACTTTACTTCTTTTGAAGTCTGTATATCACACCACCTTAGAGACTAAAATTACATTACACTACACTGTAAATTCATTACATTATAATTTAATCATCATATAATGTTAGAGCTAGGAGAAACCTTTAGAAATCACTGAGTCTGATGCTATCAATTTAGAGATGAGAAAAATGAGATTTAGGTGGTATAAGTGACTTGCTCAGAACCATATAGGTAAAATCTATGAGTTATGGAATAAGAGGGAGAATTGTATATACACCCCTGCCCCCCAAAATACCTATCCCTGGAGTCAGAGCTGGGACAGTGAGTTCCATCAGAGGTCACTGAATCCTGCATCTCCTGCTTTCCACAAAGGATAGAGCTTATGGAATTTGAAATATTCCTATCAGTAAAAGAACTTGGTCTTTAAGAAACTTCTTTTGAAGGGAGAGGAGAAGAAGAAGACGATTTACAGTAATAAAGGATAATGCTACACTAAGTTTGGACCTTCCTGTATGTGCTTTACACTAAGCTTTTCCTTTCCTATGTGGCCGGACAGAAAAGAATTTGCAAACTTCTGGAAAGCAGGAGAGGGCCTCTTAATTAGCCTTCCAAACAGGTCAAATGAAAACTGAATGCTTAAAAACAAACAAACAAACAAACCTATCCAATGCTACACACGCAAGCATCTACATTTTTCCATATTTCTAAAAGCTTAATACTAAGGAATTGCATTTGCAAATCTTGAGACCACATCCACATATCTATTAAAAGAACAAAAACTAGTCTTCTAACATCACCTCTCTTCAACGATCAAAACAAATTTTGCTTAAATTTAAGATAAAAAGGCATCTCTAAAAGAAGCCTCCACATGGAAATAAAAATCCAAACAGAAACAGCAAAACCTAGAAACTAGATAATACTGGAAATCAGCTTTGATTCTGATTATTTGCACTCACCATTGTTTCCACCACAAGACTCCCTGCTCCACCTATTAAAAACCTTAGGTTGTTTCCCATTCCAGGCCACGGTGCTCAGGCACAGCCTCACTGTTAAACACCATGGTGTTAGATTTCCAATATTGAAGCTTTATATTAAAAAGCATTTTAAAAGACCACGGGTGAGGCATTACAGGGCCCAAGGGTATTCCAATACCCTCAAAAGGAAAACCACCTCCTGGTAGGGAAGTCACTTTCATCACCCCAAGACCACTGAACCTCCAGTGGGAAAATGTGAGCTCATGTGGTTAATTATGGCTATTGCTGGCCACGAACCTCAGATGTCACTTTCTGTTGCCAATCACTTTAGCTAAAAAACCAAAAGGTTTAAGGTTTCCAGCATTCCAAGATCTAAAGGACTTTTTACCTGCCAAAGCCAAAACCTGGCTCTCTGGGGTGTGCTTTTCCAGTAAGCATTAATGACGTCCCTAACACCTAATGCAGAGCAGAGGTTTGTGTTCCTTATGCTGCTCTGAGGGTTAGAAAGGTTACAGATGATAGGTTTGTTGGTGAGAAGAAGTTGAGGGGGCGGGGAGGGAAGGATTTAGGGAGGAACACAGGAATAAACTGTAAGACTCAGGTGTGTGAAAAAGATTCTATTTAACAATGTTTTCAGGGGCTTAAAAACAAAACAAAAATCTGCAGTTTCCTCATAATAATTAATTCTGATTTGTTTTTTAAATGTAGGATAGTTATTCAGAGCAGCAGCTTTTGTGTAATTTTTATGATAATAAATACCATCAACCCACAATGGCCATGACAATATTAAAAATTAATTCAAATGCCCCTTTAACTTATATGTTGGACAAACTATTAATATTCAAACACATCCAAGTATAATAAGTGATCTAAAGGCTCTTACCATCCTGCCTTCCCAATCACTGAGGCAGCTGATTTGTTAAGGAACCAAGCACCCACTGATCCAGACAGGACAAAATATTTAAGATTCTAATCACTGCCACAGCATCTATGGAATCATTCCATGTTCTCAATGAGACACTGTTTGACATATGGTCTCTCCTTTCCAAGAAATCATGCCTGCATAAAGGGATACAGACACAGAAGGAAATCTGGGTCTCATTACCACAAAAGGCTCTTGTGTTATGGATTACTTAAAAACACACACAAACAATTTTTTTTACGAGAAATGTCTCAGTCAATGGAACTCAAATGAATACCCTTCAGCAGACAACTTTCTCCCATCATGTCCAGGCCTCTTTGGCATACTCTACCAGTAACTTACCCATTTAAAAAAAAGCACAATAAAGGTTGGGCCGCTATGGTAGAGTTTCTTAGACAGTGTCAACCCAAGCAATGGAAAGTTTGTCCCAGCAAAGTCTCGTGAATATCACAGAATAACCAGTTTGGAGGTCCTTACTAGAGAAGGACCGAGAATGCAGCTGTTACAGAACACTAAAAAGTCATCAGAAGTTTAGAAGAGGTTTTATTCAAAACAAGGACACAAAGTGCATCATGACAGGAATAATATGAATCTTAAAATCAGGCTGACCAGAAATGACTTTAGCTCTGCCACTGGCTAGTATGAGTCTTTGGAAAAATGAACTAATCTCTCTGAGCTTCAATTTTCTTGTCTTAAGAAAATGAGTAGAATTCTTTCTCTCACAGAAGGAATTCGTCCTCACAGTTGTGAGAATTACACAAGAAGTACCACACATAATGTCCCATGCTACCGTATTTCTCTACCCGCCCAATCTAAAATGTCCTCCTCCTCTTCCTTCAACAGGGAAACACTACTTTGTCTTTTAAGACACCTCAGGCACCATCTTCTCTGCAAAGGTTTTCCTGCTCCCCTCCTGATGGCACTGATTATTTCTACTTTTTTGAATCTGTGTCCCTGTTATAAACTTCAAAGTGTCTGACACAGAGTATGAAATCAATAAATATGTCTTGATGGCTTTGATTATAAGTTTAATGGCCTCACCTGGACTGAAATCTCACTGAGGTAGGATCAATACCCTACACATCTTTGCGTATTCTCAGCACCTGGCCCGGCAGGTGATACACAAGAGGCACTCAGTGAATTGAGTATACGGAAGTGCCTTGCAGAATGCTAACATAAGATTTTAAAGTCTAACACTACCACACGTGCTTCTTAAAATTTCTGATTGCCGGGTGTCATAGGGATTGAATAGGGCCTTAGAGTAAAATTACATATTTGTTTCATTTCATCTCCCATTTCATTTTTCAGCAACTGCACTAAAAAGCTAAACTAATTTTTTAGAGGGCAGGAAAAATATATTGTTTGGTGGACATACTAACAACAGAGAGCTAACAAAAGCTATGAAAAACTAGGGAAACAAAAAACTTCATATAAAACAAAAGTAGAATCAAGAAACATCTCTGAGTGGAGTAAGGTGACCATCACCAATACGGAGACCCTTCCCTTACTGCCTCCCTGCAGATCATTCTGTATTCAGCAGGCAGAGTGACTTTTAAAAACATAAATCAGCTCATGTCATCCCCCTTCTTAAAGCCTTTAAGGGTTTTCCCACTCCACTGAGAATAAAACATAAACTCCTTACAGTGGCCTCAAGGCCCTGGCTGACCTTTCCTACGTCCTCTGATGTAACTCTTCCCCCTGCTCTCCACTCTCCAATCATACAGCTCTGGTCTTTTCTGTCCCTCCTTCTTTCCCTCCTACTTTCTTTCCTTTACCTCCTCTCTCTTGCAACTAATTTCAATTACATTTATATAAATACTTTATATGAAAAGTGCTTTCAAATATTATCTCATCCAGCTGTCACAATAAATTACAGACGTAGATATTACCTCATTTTACAGTGAAAAAATTAAGCTGAGAAATTACGTGATGTGCCCAAAACATAGGTCTTTTCTCCCATACCCCCCCCACCTTGGATTTTTTTTCAGATATATCAAGCCTATTCCTCCATCATGAACTTTGTACTTGCTGCCCCCTCTTCTAGGAAAGCTCTTCCCCCAGATATAGCAGAGGTGGATTATTTCAGCCTTCAAATTTTCTGTTAAATGTTTCTCCTCAGGTCTTCTCTGACTGCTTTATCTAAAGTAGTTTCCCCTATTGTCTATGATAGCGTATTCCTTTACAAAACACTTGTTAAATATTTATTTTATTTATTGGCGGTCTCCCTTAACAGGATATATGCTCCATGAAAGGAGAGAACATATTTGTTTTTTTCTATCATTATATCCTCAAAACCCAGTACAGTGCCTGGCATATTGGTGTGCTCAATTAATATTTTTCCAATGAATGAATGTTTTGTATCCCTGGAACCTGGCACAGGGCTCAAGGTACTCAAGAGGTTTGTTGAATGAATGAACAAATGAGGAAAAAGATGTGTTATGGCCTTCAGGCCATCATAACTGCTAAAATTAGCAACAAAGCACATTTGTATGACTTATAGAGATTGGAACATTTTATAATGGAAACCAAACAAATTTCAGCTAGATCATTGCCTAGCTTTGTGGTCTTGAGCAAGTCACTAAATAGCTCATTTACACATTGTAATATGAGATTACACCACTTTCCTTATAGGTTTCCTTTGTTTTTGTGAGGATTAAAGATTAGGCAAATGTCATGCTTTTACAGATCTAATCTTCACAATAATAACATAGACCAGGTAAGGACATGAATCAGTATGTTCATACTATCGATGAGGAAATCAACTCAAAGCACGGATGGTTTGCTCCAAACTACATGGTTTCTAGAAAGGGAACCAGGACTTTAACATAAGTTTTCCCATTCCCTTTTTATCACTCATATTATGTCCCAACTACTTGTTGTAAGGCCTGTTGTATAAAGGCCAAAGGAGGTAATAAGTTAGTCTTAAATGTTAAAGGACCATAAATAACAACATTTTCTTTATTGGGAGATGGAAGAAGGTCTCAAACAAAACTAGTAATGCCCTTTTTTTTTAATAACTTCTTCCCAAATAGATAATACACTACTTTTGGGAATAATCTATAAAGCTATTTAATAGGCCTCAAAGCATTGTATAGGCTAAGGGAAAAGAACCCACTTTGCTAACAATAAAAAAAAATCTCTTTACCAATATGTCAAATAAAGTAAGTTTTTTTCTTTGGCCTACTGGTAAAGAGAATAGGAAAATTAAAATAATTTAAATATAGCAATTACTAAGAATCAGAGTCTATAATATCTTTAATGTCATTTTTTCTTACTGGAAAGAGGACAAAAATGACAGTATAACAAAAGTTGAACCTGTGGTAGTGGTTTCATGTTACCAGAAATGTAATTTTCTAAATAACAACAGAACAGATTAATGTTTGTTGTTCTTCTGCTCTCAACCACATACAAATTTTTCATGAAAATCAAACCAAAAGGACAGAGAGATTATTAGTATTCTTACGAACCCTACTGTCTGATTTTCTTAAAGCTCACTTAAAAATGATTTTCTTTTAAATTTCAAATAGACAACTCAATTAATTTTTTCCCATGATTAGAATTAAATATTCTCTTAAGTCTCCCATCAGAGAATCTGACTCTATATACTTTCAGTTGGGAAGGGACAGAAGGTCCAAAAATCCTCTGGATAAAGTGCTAGGCAACCAACACTTCAAGATACCTTTATTTTTCTCTGAAACATACCCGTTTATTATATACACCAAATCCTTAGATGTAAAAAGAAATAAAATACCTTGGAAGTCCTCAGAATTGGGCAACTTGACACCACATACAAAGTAATCCTTATGCTCATTCTGCGAATATAACCAAAGAACGAAATTAATTCTTTTTCCACATAAAGCAAAGAAAGCCTAAGTCAAATCTCAAAGAATTCAGTAGGTCAATGTTAACTCAAAGACAATACTGTCCTACACTCAAAATATTATCATAATGATAATATTGTTGAAGCTGGATGATGAGTATATAATGATTCATTATACTACTATCTGTACACTTATATATACTTGAAGTTTTTAAAAATATAAACATTTAAAACATCATGTCCAAGCAAAAAGCGATGTAAAATTTTTATTACAAAAATATCCCTCGGGGGCACCTGGGTGGCTCAGTTGGTTAAGGGACTTCTTTGGCTCAGGTCATGATCCTGGAGTCCCAGGATCAAGTCCTACATCAGGCTCCCTGCTCAGCAGGGAGTCAGCTTCTCCCTCTGACCCTCCCCCCTCTCATGTGCTCGCTCTCTAAAATAAATAAAATCTTTAAAAAAATATCCCTCAATCAATTCATAGTTATAAATGAAGATTTTCAAGTGGAATTAACAAGATTCTGCAAGCAACCTAAAATCCTATTAGCTTTCCTCTCAGAAAATCAGTCTTTTAAATCACTTTTTGTTAAAAAGAAAATAAAACCTTCAAATTTAGCGATTTGGCTCTCTAAAGAATTCTCATCATTCTAAATTTTTTGTTTGCTTTTAAAAAATTATTTTTTTAAATTTTATTTTATTATGTTAGTCACCATATATTACATCATTAGTGTTTTTTTTTTTAAAGATTTTATTTATTTATTTGACAGAGACACAGGGAGAGAGGGAATACAAGCAGGCAGTGGGAGAGGGAGAGCAGGCCTCCTGCCGAGCAGGGAGCCTGATTTGGGGCTCGATCTTGGGACCCTGGGATCATGACCTGAGCCAAAGGCAGAAGCTTAACGACTGAGCCACCCAGGCACCCCACATCATTGGTTTTTGATGTAGTGTTCCATGATTCATTGTTTGCATATAACACCCAGTGCTCCATTCAAATACCTGCCCTCCTTAATACCCATCACAGGGCTAACTCATCCCCCCACCCCCTTCCCCTCTAAAACCCTCAGTTTGAATCTCAGAGTCCATAATCCCTCATGGTTCATCTCCCCCTCCAATTTCCCCCCTTCATTTTTCCCTTCCTATCTTATTTGTTTCAGAGGTACAGGTCTGTGATTTATCAGTCTTAACACAATTCACAGTGCTCACCATAGCACATACCCTTCCCAATGTCTATCACCCAGCCACCCCATCCCTCCCACCCCCCACCACTCCTCCAGCAACCCTCAGTTTGTTTCCTGAGATTAAGAATTCCTCATATCAGTCTACGGCCAAACCACCCTGAACGCGCCCGATCTCGTCTGATCTCAGAAGAATTCCTCATATCAGTGAGATCATATGATACTTGTCTTTCTCTGACTGGCTTATTTCGCTTAGCATAATACCCTCTAGTTCTATCCACATCATTGCAAATGGCAAGATTTCAATTTTTTGATGGCTGCATAATATTCCATTGTATATATATACCACATCTTCTTTATCCATTCCTCTGTTGATGGACATCTTGGCTCTGTACATAGTTTGGCTATTGTGGACACTACTGCTATAAACACTGGGGTGCATGTACCCCTTCAGATCACTACATTTGTATCTTTGGGGTAAATACCCAGTAGTGCAATTGCTGGGTTGTAGGGTCTCAGTAGTGATCTAATTCTAATTTTATTGAAGTTTTACTTTTTACACTTACTCTAAGATTCAAAAACTTTACATCCTGACATTTATTTACCCCAGGAATTTCTTAAGTAGTACTAATACAAATTAATTAGCAATTATATTTTTAAAGCAGTACATATGCATCTGCATGTATGTGTCAGAATTGATGGTAGTTGATAATCTGGCTGAGTAAGAAAGATTTTAAAGAAACCAGAAATTATTTGTCATTTTTTTCAGATGAAGTTGAGTGCATTCTGCCACCAAACTGATATAAAAAATCAAATGGTGGAACCTAACACCCACCCACTTTTTAAATGGATATTAGCTTCTGAATGAATCATGACAGAGCATATGACTAAAACTAGAGCAATGAGTTTTTTCATTGAGAAAAAATGTCAAACAGAAACCATCTTTAAAAAATTTTTTTTTTCCCGAAAATTTGAAACTTACCAAATCAATAGGGTAAATGTAGGAAAGCTCAGATAGTAATTGCCTGCAACGAATTGTCAACTGAGCATTAGTCTTCAGAAAGAGTTCTCTGATGAGGAAAGATAAAAAGCACATTTGTTAAAAAAAAAAAGTTTTCATGCTTTCTAACATTTAATTCCACATAATGATATGGAGGACGATTAAATGGCCTGCAGTAGGCCACAGAAACTCAGAAGTAGAGTCAAGCATAATAGCTAACATGAGTTCTGACCTATCTCTAAATAGTATAAATCAAGATAAATATATACTGAGGCCTACTGTGTGTGTCTAGCACCATGCTAAGAGATGGAAAGGGTAAAAATAATCATTGACTAAGCACCTACCACTATATGCCAGGAGCTTTACAAATAGCTTTATTTAATCATTACAACAACTCTATTAGGTTGATGTCATCACACCCATTTTACAAACAAGGATACAAAATTTAGAGAGGCTCAGTAAGCAGACTAGGGTCTCATTTAATCTGAGGCCAGTGTGATTTCAGGAAATATCCATATGGTATTATTTTAATCTGAGGCCAATGTGATTTCAGGAAATATCCAGATGGTATTATTTTAAAGAAGTATTCTCTTTTTCACTCACAGTTACCTCAAAAAATAGCCTGTTGCCATATTCGGAAAATAACAGAATAAAAAGAACAAACAGTAAGTTGTGGCAAGAGATGATGTAGCTCTTCTCTTGAACCAAAGAAATAAGACCCAGAGATAAAACACCTATAGGATAAATTACCTGCTCAACTGTGTTAACAATTTAAGAAAAAGAGGGATTCAGAAAAACTGTAGGTCAAAGTGGAATGTAAAAGTAGTAGGAAACACAAAGAGCACTAAAGACCTAAAGGGATCTAGTCCTGTTTTCCTCATGATCTGGACAAAGTAACTTCCCACAGCTTTGCCTTCCTATCTGCAAATTGAGAAGATTAGACCAGATGATCTCCACGGTTCTTTCCGGGTCTAACATTCTTGAATGCTCAACTGCTAAGGTTTCTTGAAGAAAAATGTAGGATGAGATGACTTTCCAGAAAAAGTGAGTGAACATGAGCAAAAGAACAGAGGTGGCATCAAATTAAGTATGTGCTGGAAAAAAATAAAGAGAAAAACTATTAGCATCTGTTAAATGAATGTTGTGGAGGACTGAAATTAGCTAGTTGTATAGTGCCAATTTATTGAACACTATTTGAAAATTTAGCAAAATAATCACCATGATTCCTTAAGAGGAGAAGAAATATGGTAAAACTAGTATTTTAAGAGGAGAGGTCTGGGGCGCCTGGGTGGCTCAGTCGGGTAAGCATCTGCCTGCGGCTCAGGTCATGATCCTGGGGCCCTGGGATCAAACCCCTCGTTAGGCTCCCTATTCATCAGGGAGTCTGCTTCTCCCTCTTCCTCTGCCCCTCCCCCTGCTCATGTGCACACTCTCTCTCTCTCAAATAAATAAAATCTTTAAAAAAATAAAAATAGAGGAGAGGTCTGATAAGCAACATGGAGGATGAACTGGAAAGACGGAGAGACTGATGTTAGACAAGCTAGGAGCTATGACAGTAATCCCAATGGACTAACACTAAACAGGAGTAAGTCTGAAGACATGACTGAAGAAAATAAGCTACACTACACATAGAAGATAAGAAGATTCAGACATTAAGTCATGGTGCTGTGGGCTTAAAAACTAGATGAACAATGTTCACGTTTCTGATTATGACTATACACTAGGAGCTCTCATAACTACTTCTAGCATGTGCCTGACACTGAGTAGGTGCTTCATAAATATTTGTTGAATAAATGAATGTGGCACTGACGTGTGTGGAATATAAATTAATACCAGCAGCTTTTAAAGAATGCTACTTTTCCAAATCCTATCCTCAAAGCAAACCCATCACTCTGAACCATTATTCTCAGTGTTGCATTTACCTTTTCGCAGTACACTCCTTCCTCAATTCATTCAGGGATTCCTTCTGGAGTTGAAGCTTAAGGTGCTCAGTTGAAAATGCACTCCCTAGAGAGAAACGGAGGGAGACAATTTCAGACGTGACACTGCAGATACGACTGCTCAATAACAACCAAAAAGGCAGATCTCATGCCCTGACCGTGAGGGAATAGAGTTCAGAGGCAAAGTAAGCTGGGTACAGAGGTCTTCTGGAGGGGTGACTGGAACAAACCTCCCAGCTTGTTCAATTTGACCAAGTCTGGCCTCTAGGAGGAATCAAAGAGTCTCTGCCTCCAGATTTCTGGATTACTGACCAAGAAACCCTGATGAAATTTCAAAATTCAACTTCATTTTAAAAGAAAGTGAATATGGACTCTGAGTGTTACTGCTTATTCACTAAAGGTTCATCAGTTGTAATAAATAGACCTCTCTGGTGAGGGATGTTGATAATGAGGGAGGCCAGGCAAGTGTGGGAGTTGGGGATATATGGGAAATCTTTACAACTTCAGCACAATTTTGCTAATGAACCTAAAACTGCTCTGAAAAATGAAGTTGATTTTTTTAAAAAGTGGTTAATTTCTTTTTACCTACAAATGCTATACAACATTTCTGAAAGTATAAAAAGTAAAACAGAAAAAATTACTTGCATTTTGACTACTTATTTTTAGTTCATAAATATAAGTAGTTTTAGCTATAATCACAGTGTGTAGAAAATGTATATTCTGATTTTTCCATATTATGTCACAAGCATTTTTAGATGTTGACGGTCTGAGTTGTAATGTTTAATGGCTGTGTAAAATTCAACTCCATGGATGTGAATTATATGAATATTCTACATTTTAACTGATACCCCATACCCCAAATCCTATTACAGAACATTTAATTTCCTTTAAGTGTTTGCTTTAGCACTACACAGAGATTTGTGTTTGTGTTTATATGCCTGATTGTTGTATTTATATCAAGTTTTGGAACCTACATTTCCATTTATGTGATCATAGAATCCTTTTACATCTTCCTACTCTAAGAAATGAGAGCATCTTCTGTTCTTTGACAATCCAGGCCTGATAACACCAGAAATACCGAAGCACAGAAAAACAGTCTTAGATCCAGACACACTAATCTCTGGATCTTACAAAGGGGGAGTTTCATAAACCATGATCCAATAGGAAAAAGTGCCTTCAACTAGTCTGCACATCTCCTGCAGGAAGGAACAAGAAGTACATTACTGAACATAATACAGTTAGCACTAAATTCACCAACCTAAGTAATTCTATCAAAATATTTCTCTTCTCTCTCAACTGTATTTAAATGATCCGTACATTGGTAACTTTGCCCCCAAAACAGAACATAACCACTTATCTTTTTTAGCCCCAGTGTAAGTCCTCCCCCCAAATCTTCACCCTCCATGATTTCAGATGACATTCAGGTTGACAACCTCCACCACCCACCCCATGTATGTGTTGAACAATTATCAAATATTTGAAATTTTCCAGGTATCTATTAGTGATTTCTAGTTTCTTTTAGTCAGAGACTGTATTATACATCGATTCTTTTGTATTTGTTTTATGATAACAACTATGGCCTAACTAAATGCTCCATGTACACATGAAAAAAGGTATATTCTGCTGGTATGCAGTGGGGTGGTCCACTCTTAATCGGGTCAAGTTAGTTAGTAGTGTTATTAAAGTCTTTTATTCTTACTGATTTTGTCACTTGTTCTATGAACTACAGAGATGAGTGTTGCGGTTTCCAGCTATAAATATAGATTTAGCTATTTCTTCTTTGGTCTATATATATATACATAGAGAGAGAGAGAGAGAGAGCTCTGTTATGTTCATACATATTTAGAATTATTATGTTTTTATGACTGACCCCTCCACCATAATGTAAAATCTGTCTTTATCACAGGTAATATTCATTGTTCTGAAATCTACTTTGTCTAATATTAATATAGCCACTCTGGCCTTCTTTGAATTCATATTTCCATGGTGTACTATTCCTATTCTTTTACCTTTAATCAATCAATTTATCTACCATTATATTAAAAGTGGGTTTCTTATAGGTAGCATTCAGTTGTGTCTTTTTTTATATAAAATCTGAACAATCTTTTTTTAACTGATATATTTAGACTGCTTACACTTAATATAATTGATGTTTAGATTAAAACCTACCATTTTGCTAGCTGTTTTCTATATGTTCCACCTATTCTTTGTTCTTTTATCCCTCTTTTTTTATGCTTTTGGACTGAGGATTTTTTACGATTCCCTCTTTCTTCACTACGTGGCTTAGTCTTACCTCCATTTTAAATTTTTAGTGGTTGCCCCAGAGTTCATAGTATATAACTTCAATAAATAAGGAAAACCCAAAAGACTCCACCCCAAATTACTAGAACTCATACAGCAATTCAGTAATGTGGCAGGATACAAAATCAATATACAGAAATCAGTTGCTTTCTTATACACTAACAATGCAACTGTAGAAAGAGAAATTAGAGAAACGATTCCATTTACAACAGCACCAAAAACCTTAAGATACCTCAGAATAAACCTAACCAAAGAGGTAAAGGATCTATACTCTAGGAACTACAGAACACTCATGAAAGAAGTTGAAGAAGACACAAGAAGATGGAAAAACATTCCATGCTCTTGGATCAGAAGAATAAACATAGTTAAAATGTCTACGCTACCCAGAGCAATCTATACCTTCAATGCCATCCCGATCAAA